TGGGGGGGGCGGGGGGGGGACAGCATGGCGCTCTGGGGCCCCGCCGTCACGCTGGGGCTGCCCTGGGCCTAGGGGGGTCAAAAAAGTTAAAAAGTTAAAAGATACTCAAAAAAGGATCGATACTAAAACGTTGTATCCAGATACAATACTCATTTTCATAAGTAACGATACCATTATTATGTATTTATTTACGTTGTTTATGATCATTAACGTGACGTTAGCCTTGAATTGCTAGCTGCGACTAATGGCTAATAATAACACGCCAACATTAATCAAGTCGGCCATTTTGATTAGGTCACCAATAGGAAGATCCCAGGCAAGAAAATCCTAATTGCTTCATGGCAATATAGACATTCATTTAAAAATAGTGAAATGAATCTTACAAACACTGAATTACACTCTATACATAGATACTCAAAAAAGTATCGATACTAAAACGTTGTATCTGGATACGATACTCATTTTCATGAGTAACGATACCATTATTATGTATTTATTTACGTTGTTTATGATCATTAACGTGACGTTAGCCTTGAATTGCTTGTAGCTAATGGCTAATAACAACATGCTACCATTAATCAAGTCCGTCTGGCCGCAAACTCCGCCCACATCCAAGTCGGCCATTTTGATTAGGTCACCAATAGGAAGATCCCAGGCAAGAAAATCCTAATTGCTTCATGGCAATGTAGACGATCATTTAAAAATAGTGAAATGAATCTTACAAACACTGAATTAAACTCTATACATAGATACTCAAAAAAGTATCGATACTAAAACGTTGTATCCGGATACGATACTCATTTTCAAAAGTAACGATACCACCCATTAACGTGACGTTAGCTTTGAATTGCTAGCTGCGGCTAATGGCTAACAACAACACGCCAACATTAATCAAGTCGTCTGGCCGCAAACTCCGCCCACATCCAAGTCGGCCATTTTGATTAGGTCACCAATAGGAAGACCCCAGGCAAGAAAATCCTAATTGGCTCATGGCAATATAGACATTGATTTAAAGATAGTGAAATTAATCTTGCAAACACTGAATTAAACTCTATCCATAATATTATGTTAAAATAGTGGATGTTAAATAGGTTTGTACAATAAGTCCAAACAAGTTTAACCCAAAAAATAGATATTTCTGACAATTATGAAGGGTCAGGGTCAGGGTTATGGTCAGGATCAGGGTTAGGGTTATATTTAGGGTTAGGATTAGGGTTAGAGTTAGACTTAGGGTCAGGGTTAGGATCAGGGTTAGGGTTAGGGTTAGGGTCAGGGTCAGGTTTAGGATTAGGTTTAGGGTTAGGGTTAGGGTTAGGGTTAGGATTAGGGTTAGGGTTAGGATAAGGGTTAGCTTTAGGGTTAGGGTCATTAATGTGGGCCACCATAACATCAGTAACAGGTCAGTTTGAAACCAAAGACACTAACCTGTCCAAACTCATCTACATTTTGGGGTCTTTGTTTTTATCCTTGTGGTATCGAAAATGGTATTGAGTATTTTCCTCAGTATCTGTATCCAGTTGAACACTTTAGTATCGTGAGGACCCTACCTGGACCGTGGTGGAGTGGAGGCTGTCGGGGGACGGGGACGGCCCCCCCAGGCTGGAGGGGGTCATCGGCTTCACCAGGTCCTGACCCGGGGACACATCGGCCGCCATGTTGGCCAGGTT